AAAAAGATAGTCGGTTGGTTAATGAAGGTTGGAGTGAGAGAGGTTAGGGGAGTTATCATGTCAAGTTTTACCGTGTATGTTAACGAAAGAGAGAGTCGGTTGGTTAATGAAGGTTGGAGTGAGAGGGATTTAGGGGAGTAATCATGTTAAGTTTTACCGTTTACGTAAACGAAAGAGAGCGTCGGTTGTTTAATGAAGGTTGGAGTGAGAGAGGTTAGGGAAATTATCGTGTTAAGTTTTACCGTTTACGTTAACGAAAGAGAGAGTCGGTCGGTTAATGAAGGTTGGAGTGAGAGAGGTTAGGGGAGTTATCATGTTAAGTTTTACCGTTTAACGTTAACGAAAGTGAGAGTCGGTTGGTTAATGAAGGTTGGAGTGAGAGAGGTTAGGGAAAGTATCGTGTAAAGTTTTACCGTTTACGTAAACGAAAGAGAGAGTCGGCTGGTTAATGAAGGTTGGAGTGAGAGAGGTTAGGGGAGTGATCATGTCAAGTTTACCGTTTATGTTAAAGAAAGAGAGAGTCGGTTGGTTAATGAGGGTTGGAGTGAGAGAGGTTAGGGAAATTATCGTGTTAAGTTTTACCGTTTACGTTAACGAAAAAGAGAGTCGGTTGGGTAATGAAGGTTGGAGTGAGAGAGGTTAGGGGAGTTATCATGTCAAGTTTACCGTTTATGTTAACGAAAGAGAGAGTCGGTTGGTTAATGAAGGTAGGAGTGAGAGAGGTTAGGGAAAGTATCGTGTAAAGTTTTACCGTTTACGTAAACGAAAGAGAGAGTCGGCTGGTTAATGAAGGTTGGAGTGAGAGAGGTCAGGGGAGTTATCATGTTATGTTTTACTGTTTACGTTAACGAAAGAGAGAGTAGGTTGGTTAATGAAGGTTGGAGTGAGAGAGGTTAGGAAGTTAACATGTTAAGTTTTACCGTTTAACGTTAACGAAAGAGAGAGTCGGCTGGTTTGGAGTGAGAGAGGTCAGGGGAGTTATCATGTTAAGTTTTACCGTTTACGTTAACGAAAGAGAGAGTCGGTTGGTTAATGAAGGTTGGAGTAAGAGAGGTTAGGGGAGTTATCATGTTCAGTTTTACCGTTTACGTTAACGAAAGAGAGAGTCGGTTTGTTAATGAAGGTGAAGGGTAGGTAAATCATTGCAAATTTAGGTAGGTCATCTTAGGATTCATAAGTGTAGCGTGGTTGTGCTGTGGTTTATTTTCTCTTTGCAATAAGACCAGATACTCAGGTTAGGGTGCAGCTTAGCTGTCCAATAACCTGACGTCTCTATTTTCTTCAACAAAAACTAAGTCAGCAATTTAAGGTAGCATATTCCCCTTAAATGTTCAGGCGTGTTTTGTTACTTGTCTTGTCAAAGCATAAACATGTTTGAAGTAGAAACGAGACGATAACTATATCTCAACCAAGTCTGAAAATGAAAAAATGAAATAATCCCAGATAGCACTAATAAATTGGCCTGTACATTCTAAGGTTTATTTTCACTGAAGGGCGGTAAACACGTGATATCAATAGTTTAAACATGGGTATGTTTATCCTTTTAATGATGAACACGCGATATCTTCAATCCATCTCAAGGTTGTTTGTCTGATTTACCAGGATGGCTGACAGAAATCGTGAATTGCGTCGTGACCAGGGAAATCAATTATGAATGGAATTAAAATCTTGTTTATGGGGGAGAGTTTGACTTTTCCGCACTTTAAGCTTGTTTGAATATTAAAATGATAATATGATTTTCACTTGAGTCAGGGAAAAGATGAGGTTGGAATCTAGACTGCAATGAATACTTTAATGGAACACATGTTAAGGCTTCGGTAAAACGCAATAACTAAGAAAACTTAAAACGTTATGATTTTGACGTGTGTTATTAAGATGTAAAGGCAGAGATGGAAACGCTGTGTAGTTACACAGTGTAATCTATGGAAGAAATGAAGTCCATTGCGTATCAGTACACTGTGAATTACTAACAGGGGGGACCCAGGAATTAAATTTGGGTGTTGACCAAATTTTAAACACAGAAAAAGACTCCAAAAAACTAATAAATTAGAATTGCCATGTCGGTTGTACATGTATACTACTTTCTGGCACCAAACACTATATAGAACTTCATTATTTCTGAGATTGTGACAATTATAATTGTGCTGCCGAGCAGAGCGAGGCGAATTTTCTTCTGAATATGTAATACTAAACTTGTTCAAGCACTGCCAAGCGTAGAAAGCTAGAATTTATCGGACATTATTTCCATTTTCAAACAGATCGAATAAGGCATAGAATAGTTTTCTGAGTTTGCGGTATTATTCCAGTATTTTTATTTTATGACGGCCGAGCGGAGCGAGTGTTAACAAATTCTCTGAAACAATAATAATAATAATTATAATAATAATAATATACAACATTTGATATAGCGCCCTATCTAGCTAACATAAGCCACTCTAAAGCGCTTTACAGTACATAGATATACAATTTATACAATTAGGAATATACAGTTTTGAGGAATTTGCAGGAGCTGCCTTATCAGTCGCTAACTACTAGTCCTATGCCACCTTCCTAATATCTCCCTATGTGTGTATGCCTGCATGTGTGCTGGAGATGTATTGTGTTCTGTTTGTAGTGGGACCGTGCTTCCAACGGCATCTTTTTATAGTGCCACCTCACTTGAATGCTACATCATAGATACCGCAACATCCTCCCCAGACCATTTTATACTCCGCCTGGGTTGTTGGAGTTGTGAGGGCAGGAGAAAAACACTTTCTCTGATATTCCATGCGTGCGACGCAATGGTAAAAATGTTGGTTTTTGGTTAAAATTTTGATGTTTGTGTCATACCTATCATGTGCATGTAGTTTAGGCGAGCATTTTGGCAATTAAATATTAATTTATTTTGTCATAAATATGAATTATGATTTGACTGTTTGTCTTTTATTGTGAATTTGTATGCATGCATATGTACAAGGGCAACACCTGTTAAAAAGGATATATATATACATGCCAGGCTTTTATGCTAACATTGGTTATTATTCACCTGATAACGTGATGCTAAGGTGGATGCTTTATTGTCTTTGAAATTTTTGAAATTTACATTTTTAACAGGTATAATAAATCACTCCTGGTGATCATGTGTACATGAGACCACAGGTGAAATACAGGTTTATCTATCCTGAAATGGACTTTACCTTTGAAATAACAATTAACATATATACCTAATTCCAACAGATGGTTTTATCCTCTCTCAACGGACGGGGTGATCCCCACACCGTGACATTAGAATAATATGATTAGGTAGACAGTCCGTTGACCCTTCACAACTGACCTGACTGGAGGGTGTCGTCTCACGTAACATACATTTGGTATTTTCCTATATACAGGTAAGGTGGGTGTATGCTAGGTGAGGTTTGGTGTCAGTCAGAGAACAATAGGATTTAATTACAGGTAAACCATAGTCTGTACTATAAAGTGTCTTACCATGTGAATATGATTGATTTTTGGTGTAAAATTTCATTTATTTATAAAATTGTTTCCACTTCATCTATTATAGCCTTCATCAAAATAATAGGGAATATCAGATGAAATGTCATAACTTTACATAGTATTACAATACAATACAATACAATTTATTTATGTAAGTTTCACATATCGATATACATTGAAACTACAGCAGATTTTACAAAACAAAATACATGTATTTCAAAATTTAAATCGATCAGTTATTAACATCCAGCCAAATCACACCTTAAAATAAGTTAAATCACTAGCACTGTACATCAATCTAATTAAAATCAGATCTCTCATTACATGACGTAGTGTAATGAGAGATCTGATTTTAATTAGATTGACTGTTCATAATTATATAAAGTTAAAACATAGGCGCCTGCGATACATATGATATAAAGCAGCGTCTAATGTCGATCCGGTAAAGGTGTAACTGGACGAGAATACCGACCGGTTTCGACTTTAAACTTAAATTTATTTACACGACATTCCCAACTTCTCCGTTTTCCTTTTGACCACTAATGTATTTTATAGACTAGTATACCGTGAGCGGTTCCATTAATCCTTAACCAGGGCATACAGACCTCCACATTCTGTTCCACGTCACAGGAACTCCAACCAAGATCGCCACTTGTGGCGACATTGGTCGCATTTCTTCCGGCATCGAAGAAGTAGCGGCACACTTTATTATTATTTCTCTGGTCAAGGTTGTAACATCCTTATACCATTGTTAAATAAAGTGGTCATGCAAGCTTGTTTTCAATTAATGTTTCAAAAATATGTAAGTTCAGCCAGAGTTACTAGTATTTTATTAATATAATGTAATCATTTAAAATGACAACGAAGGGTTATTTCACGTTAACTGTACACCATATTGTACACATTACTCGATTATTTATGCAGTATAATGGTAAACACATATTCAAAGTAGTTTCATTAATATTAATGCCGGGGCAACTAGGGCAACACCCCTGGGTCCGCTACTGACTTATGTATAAAAAGGAAACGGCTATGTATAAGTTTTCACGAGAGTAAAGTTTTAAAGCGATGTGTATGTCAGCAAGTTTCACTTAAATGTCATATTTTCAAGTCATGCGTTCTGGAGAGGTAAGGTTCTCGGACACCGCTGTCGATTGACAGCCGTCTTTGCCCGCTGAATAATGGTATATTAACGTTTCGCAACTTAAAATGAACAGATGTTATAGTGACTGTTTCTACAAAAATATTTTCTTTAAATTCACATGTCACATATCAAAGCACGAAATACTTCTTTTTTAGAAAACAATATCTTCATCACTTGATTTAATACATGGATGTGGTATTCTAGACCTAATTTCGTCAGGTCACGGCCTAAGCTGTTAATAATTTGTACCACACTTTAACCAGTACGGAAAAGGGGAGACAACCTCCGTCTGATTTTTGAACCAACTTCATTCGAGTTATTTCCCTTCAGCCAATTTCTCGGAAAACTCTGCAGAATTAATGACGTGACATCTGCTGTTTTACAGGTGCCGTAGTCCTTTAATACAGAGGAGGAACTCGTCACCTGATCCATACTGACCTTCATAAAGGTAAGTCTTAAACTTGATTGGAAAATATGCTCAACATTTAGCTGTATTACGTTTACAATACAAACAGTTTCACATACATTGAAGTAAACTGTCTTTCCGTAATGACCAGTAGTACATTTATAGCAAATTTCGGTTTTAATCATCATCCATGGTGAAGTCATTTCACAGCCGGTGCTAATGACATTTTCACACCAAAATACTTAAGTAGTTTAAACTGTCACTATGTATTTGAAACTGTTTAAATAAATCATTTCTGAAACGAAAACCAAACCTTGTGAGACTTAAACGAGGAAAAGAAGAGATGAAATGAGCACAATGTAATCACCAACAACAAAACAACAACGGGACTAGACCGAACACCTGCTGACTTCAGATTTATCCTTCTAACCAACTGAGCTACCGGGAAAACAGAAGTGTCACAGTTTTAATACAAACGAAAGTTAATGGGAGATTACTGTATATATACGAACACTCACAGTGCAATTGGATCCTTAAAATTAACCTGTGTTTAATTATATTGCCCATTGTGCAGATTGCAGTTAGTTGAACACAATTCCATTCTTTTGTTAACCACATTTTGTGATAAGTCTGTTGTTCTGAACATTTTCATTTTGTCCGGTTTAATTCTGATCAAATGGCACACTGCACTTTTTTTTAAGAAAATGTATTCATTTTACTTAAAACGCATTCTGTTGTCAAAATCTTAAATCGAAATGTATTGAAATGCATTGGTTTTCGGAGTCTCAATTTGTTTTATGTTATTTTAAGCTAAGTTTCTGTCTGTTAACTATTGTTGTAGGTGTTCAGTTCCAGTTGTCAGGATGATGGAGTACGAACGTTACATCACCATTGTCTTCCTATCCGCCTTCGCCTTGGTGGGAACTGTGGGTAACATTCTAGTACTGTACGGCTTTACTAGGTGTCGCCAGAAGTTCACGTCTTCCCTTTTCATCCTCACCCTAGCTGGCATTGATCTAATCACGTGTGTCATTACCATACCGTCAAACATTGCGATGGAAGTTCTAAACTTCAATGTTCCATACGACATTATATGTAAGCTCTATCACTTCCTCGTGTCTACGACAATTCCGTTCTCGGCGTTCATCATGGTGGCCATTGCGGTCGACAGGTATTTCTGCATCTGCAAGCCTTTCGCTAAGGTGATGACTCACTACCGTGTCGGGATTATCGTGGCCAGCCTGTGTATAACGTCCATCTGTCTAGGAATGTTATCCTGTCTTAACTATGGTATCTACAAGAACCCCGATAATCTGTACGAAAACTTGATAGACCGGAACATGTCCAACATCGGTCTGAACCAGGCAATGGAAGCTCAACTGATGGAGCTTCTCAAGGAGCTCAGTACGCATGACAAAAACGACCTGCTCACGGAACCAATCAACACGTTCAAGTGTCAGGAGTCCGCCATGTTGCTAGGAGATGAATTCTTTTCGATTTTCCAAAAGATATATTCGTCGTTTTACGGTTTATCGTGTGTATTTGTAATTGTAATTTACTCCGTTATCTACAGGTTCATCCTGAAGCGAAGACAACGGCGCCTGCGCATGGAGTCGTTTCCGTGTTGCACCTTCCGGGTGCCACATAATGGCGACAGTGAGAATACAGAGGTGATGTACCTCAGCCAGGACGCCTCGGTCGTCGTGGAGGAACGCGACAAAAACCACAACGCTGAATCTCAACGACAGCTGGTCCGCAGTGAAAGTAGCGAAAGAAAAAAGGACAAGTTTAGTCTGGGTCACGAAAAACAGGAACGAATCCGGAGGAACAATATCAAGACGGCCATTATGCTGTCTCTGGTGGCTTTTGTGTTTATTGTGGCCTTCCTGCCGGCCTGGCTGATGAAGCTGAGACTTGTGGGTATGAACGTAGTGGTATTCAACATGTATTTCATCTACAATGTCATTAACCCGTTCATCTACGCTTTCATGAATCCAGACTTTCAGAACCAATTAAAAGAGGTATTCCTCAATCTCTGTCGGTAAAACAGGCTTAGTCGTGCTTTATAGTTTCATATTTTTGTCAGAACGAGAAAAATCTTACAAATGTGCTGATTTCATCGCCGCTGTGTTAAAATGAACTCTTGCACATACTGTTGATTATCTGCTACACAATTCTGTACTCGTCTCGGTTGTTAGTTTTGTTTATGGACGTGCTTTACCATTAACAAACACTTGTAAAGGATGCGACAGAGTGTGAACATGTACACTAGATCTTTTGTAAATTCATGTAAGACAATTGTGATCATAAATCGTGTTAATAGGATTGAATTGTATAAACATATTTATATTATAGCGTGGTTACGCAACGAAAATTTAACATAACGTAATATTTATCAATGTTTAGTATAAATATACACATGTATAGTTAATTTGTAAAAGAACAACTTAAATGTTTGATTGGCGTCTCGATATTAGCTAAGCTTTGCGTAACAATGTACCCTGACCCCTTTATATAAACGCACTATACACAGAAATCGATCCTCGAGAACAACTCACATCCCCATCCATTGTCTGCAAACTGGTCAAATGGTTAAATGGCAATGTCGACAGATGAAATAATACCTGGCCAGAACACAAGAGTCGCTACTTCATCCCCGAATGATAATGTCAAAATTATTAATGTCAAAGGTTACACCAACCTTGTTGGTATCAATACTGATAGCAAATTCATTGTGAACTCAATAAGTATATACTGTCAAATACAATAATAAGCGTATTAACCCCTATGGCTAGCTGTGTATATCTATATTATAACCTCTATAGTAAGCTGTGTATATCTATAGTATAACCCCTATAGTAAGCTGTGTATATCTATATCATAACCCCTATAGTAAGCTGTATATATCTGTATTATAACCTCTATAGTAAGCTATGTATATATATAGTATAACCTCTATAGTAAGCTGTGTATATCTGTATTATAACCCCTATAGTAAGCTGTATATATCTGTATTATAACCCCTAAGCTGTGTATATCTGTATTATAACCCCTATAGTAAGCTGTGTATATCTGTATTATAACCCCTATAGTAAGCTGTATATATCTGTATTATAACCTCTATAGTAAGCTATGTATATATATAGTATAACCTCTATAGTAAGCTGTGTATAGCTGTATTATAACCCCTATAGTAAGCTGTATATATCTGTATTATAGCCTCTATAGTAAGCTGTGTATATCTGTATTATAACCCCTATAGTAAGCTTTGTATATCTGTATTATAACCTCTATAGTAAGCTGTGTATATCTGTATTATAATCTCTATAGTAAGCTGTGTATATCTGTATTATAATCTGTATAGTAAGCTGTGTATATCTGTATTATAACCTCTATAGTAAGCTGTGTATATATATATTATAACCCCTATAGTAAGCTGTGTATATCTGTATTATAACCCCTATAGTAAGCTGTATATATCTGTATTATAACCTCTATAGTAAGCTGTGTATATATATATTATAACCTCTATAGTAAGCTGTGTATATATATATTATAATCTCTATAGTAAGCTGTGTATATCTGTATTATAACCCCTATAGTAAGCTGTATATATCTGTATTATACCCCCTATAGTAAGCTGTGGATATCTGTATTATAAACTCTATAGTAAGCTGCATATATCTGTATTATATCCCCTATAGTAAGCTGTGTCTATATTATATCCCCTATAGTAAGCTGTACATATCTGTATTATAACCACTATAGTAAGCTGTATAGATCTGTATTATAACCTCTAAAGTAAGCTGTGTATATTTATATTATAACCTCTATAGTTAGTGTATTATAACCCATATAGTAAGCTGTGTCTATCTCTATCATAACCCCTCGAGAAAGCTGTGTCTATATTATAACCCCTATACTAAGCTGTGTATATCCGTATTATAATCTCTATAGAAAGCTGTGTATATCTGTATTATAACCCATATAGTAAGCTGTGTATATCTATAGTATAACCCCTATAGTAAGCTGTGTATATTTATAGTATAACCCCTATAGTAAGCTGTGTCTATCTATATCATAACCCCTAGAGAAAGCTGTGTCTATATTATAACCCCTATAGAAAGCTGTGTCTATATTTTAACCTCTATAGTAAGCTGTGTATATCTATAGTATAACCCCTATAGAAAGCTGTGTATATCTGTATTATATCTCTATAGTAAGCTGTGTATATCCGTATTATAATCTCTATAGTAAGCTGTGTATATCTATATTATAACCCCTATAGTAAGCTGTATATATCTGAATTATAACTTCTATAGTAAGCTTTATATATCTGTATTATAATCTTAACAGTTAGCTGTATATATCTGTATTATAACCTCTATAGTAAGCTGTATATATCTGTATTATAACCCCTATAGTAAGCTGTATATATCTGAATTATAACTTCTATAGTAAGCTTTATATATCTGTATTATAATCTTAATAGTTAGCTGTATATATCTGTATTATAACCTCTATAGTAAGCTGCATATATCTGTATTATAACCTCTATAGTAAGCTATGTATATCTGTATTATAACCTCTATAGGAAGCTGTATATATCTGTATTATAACCTCTATAGTAAGCTATGTATATCTGTATTATAACCTATAGGAAGCTGTATATATCTGTATTATAACCTCTATAGTAAGCTTTGTTTATCTGTATTATATCTCTATAGTAAGCTGCATATATCTGTATTATAACCTCTATAGTAAGCTGTATATATCTGTATTTTAACCTCTATAGTAAGCTATGTATATCTGTATTATAACCTCTATAGGAAGCTGTATATATCTGTATTATAACCTCTATAGTAAGCTTTGTATATCTGTATTATATCTCTATAGTGAGCTGTGTATATCTGTATTATAATCTCTATAGTAAGCTGTGTATATCTATATTATAACCTCTATAGTAAGCTATGTATATCTGTATTATAACCTCTATAGGAAGCTGTATATATCTGTATTATAACCTCTATAGTAAGCTTTGTATATCTGTATTATATCTCTATAGTGAGCTGTGTATATCTGTATTATAATCTCTATAGTAAGCTGTGTATATCTATATTATAACCTCTATAGTAAGCTATGTATATCTGTATTATAACCTCTATAGGAAGCTGTATATATCTGTATTATAACCTCTATAGTAAGCTTTGTATATCTGTATTATATCTCTATAGTGAGCTGTGTATATCTGTATTATAATCTCTATAGTAAGCTGTGTATATCTATATTATAACCCCTATAGTTAGCTGTGTATATCTGTATTATAGTCTCTATAGGAAGCTGTATATATCTGTATTATAACCTCTATACTAAGCTGTGTATATCTATATTATAACCCCTATAGTAAGCTGTGTATATCTGTATTATAACCTCTATAGTAAGCTGTGTATATCTTTATTATAACCACTATAGTAAGCTGTGTTTATCTGTATTATATCTCTATAGAAAGCTGTGTATATCTGTATTATAGTCTCTATAGAAAGCTGTGTATATCTGTATTATAGTCTCTATAGTAAGCTGTGTATATCTGTATTATAGTCTTTATAGTAAGCTGTGTATATCTGTATTATAGTCTTTATAGTAAGTTGTGTATATCTGTATTATAACCTCTATAGTTAGCTGTGTATATCTGTATTATAACCTCGAGAAGTTAGCTGCGTTTGTGCCATAACCTGTTACAGTGTGGTTGTAATTACAATATATATTAGCGTCATAACCTGTTACAGTGTGGTTGTAATTACAATATATATTAGCGTCATAACTTCCATAGTAAGCTGCGTTGATGTTCCGGCTGTTGATGTAGATTAAACTGTTGGTATCTACTTTGTATCTAAAAATCTGGAGTATGTTGCCGTCCAAGTAATGTTAAACGCCACCCAACTGTCGCCTATTTTCATCATTTAGTTGTGAGTCGTGTCCAGCGGTGAATTCAACATCTGTAAGTGGACTCCAATCTTTCTCGCTCAGCTATGCTCAATATTGATTTGTCGTTGTATATATATATATTTATATAATTGTATAATTGGTTATGCCGACAAAATATAGATTACGTAATGATATGTATAGTGCTACCAGTATGAACTGAACTTGTAAATATGGGATTAACGTTAAAATGGGAACTGACCTTACACGTGTAGAGATATGTTAACTGTTTACCGTTAAACATGGACTAAACTTGTAAATATTGAACCACATGTACATTGTACTATACAGTATCTATTTGTATAAATCATTATTATTACATTTTTACCATTGTAACATCGGCAAGTATTCATTGGATAGGCGGGTATTTTTTCGCAACAGTGATGATTTTCAAAATGGGAAAATAACCAATCAGAAAGCTTGTAACATGCGAGTTCGGCATTGTCATTGATAGTGACGTCGTATATATCTGACGCCATAAACTGAGATCCCGCCCCACAATATTAAGAGATTTTGACGACAAGCTGAAGCACTACTGCCGTTTGTTAAATTTTCCTTTTCTTTCTTTTGTAATACTAAAAATGGAACAAACATAATATTAAAGTATTCCCTGTTGAATAAAAATAATTATTATTTCTTAGCTGGTAGAATTGCACTCGTTAAAATATTGAAGCATTCTACTACACTTGTGAACTAGATATGGTGACCATCAGACAACCATAGACAGGTGTGGAAGACACGACTACTTGGGGACATTTTAATGAATGTGTGTTGGACACCAACTAGACAAATGCGTTAAATAATATTTACCCACTACAACCTATCATGACGTTCAAACAGCAATAGACAGTGGCAGTTATGTCTAACGTAACGTGTACACAGGTGTGTAATAAACAGCTGTAAGAGTGACGTGTTGCTTTTACCACATATATCAAAATTACAACTGCATATGTATGTTCATTAGTATTTCCTTTATTTCCTCCAGAAATGAAGAGTTACAGAAATAACGAACAATACACGTGCAATTCAACACTATTGAAAGAGAAGAAAAAGCAGTCACAATCATGGTCAAACCCCCCTACATAGTGACACACACATGCACATGGACAGACACACACATAAGAGAATAATAATAGTACCCGCATCATACCATAAAGTACTATAAACACAACACAATGATATAATAGGCACTATTACAGTCATTATACGGTGATAATTATGATGAAAGACAGTATCACACTAATCATACATTACATCACACATTGATATAATAGACATATTTACACTCCTCAAACTACATTATCATATAGTAGTATAGACAGTAATACACTTCTCGTACGAAGCAATCATACAACATTGTAATAAACAATATTACAAGCATCACACTATAAATTATACAGCATTATTATAGACAGTATTACTGTTACATAAGTCTTACAATACAATCATACATTGAGTAGAACCCGTTGCACGAAGTCATACAATATAGTCATACAGTGGTGTGAAATACACAACATACAATATAATAATTAACTTGAAGAAACAGAGCAGCCATGCAATGATTTCAGTTGTAATAATACATATCACAAGATTAATTCATACAATACAAACAATATTATGAATGGTAGTAAGTTGCACTAATCATGCAGCCCAATTGTGCAATGGTAAAACAGGAAAGACTCAGGAAATGCTTGCCTAGTAATATGAATACAAAAGTATATATGTATTCATGCCATAGGGCTATGGACGCAATTGGACCAGTGTCATTTTGACGCTTTTCCTCTTTCCTCAAATTACTTGAACCCATCGTAAGAAGCAAACATTTAGATGAGTTTAAGCTATTCCAGAAAAGTCGTTTGTACCGACATATCAGAAAATGAAATACCACATACAAAGGCAAAATACTCAAATGTATTTATATTGCTAATTGATATATACATGTAATTATAATGTAAATGAATTAGTTGAACGGATATTTTAACATTATCAGATCGGTCCAATACGCGTTAGTATAAAACTTATCAGGCTTCATGGGATAAGGATATAACTCATTCATGTTAACACTGGCGTGAATTTAAAAAAAAAATGAATAAAAATAAAACTTCGAACAATGCCTATGAGTTGATAAGTCTTGAAGAGTTTAAATTAGCAGAAAGAAAAAATAGAAATCGGCAAAACTCTTTGCAACGTCAGACTTAAATTGAAGTTGCATTGTGACGTCATCATTATTACGGTAATATAGTTCTCGTTTGTTACCTTTCACTCGGTAGATACACGTGCTAACTAGCAAACACCGACTGGGAAAAGTTTATTTTATATGTATATATTATTACTGGACAAAAATGTCCAAATATTTCCTCTGGTTGTCACGTGAATGGGAGGCCGTACGTCACGCGATATACATCACGTGACGTCATCAATCAATATTATATCAGAGTTGTTCATGATGTGTGATATCATACATTGATGTTTACTATGTTTGTTAGACTTGCACGAGTCCCTTTATTATGACGTTCACATGTCATCCTGATAAACGGAGGGGAAGTCACATCATGTCGGGTACAATAATGACAGGGTGACCTCTACGAGGTCAAATATTTTATAAAATTCAAAATGTATTTTCCTTAGCAAAGGGACTTTGGCAAGTCTTTACTATAACTCGTTAAATATATGGAGAATTAAAAATATTACATATCAAATCGTCTTCATTTTTTTGTTTTTATTTGTTTTGTTTCCTTACTCGATACAGCACTAAGTAGGTTAGTAAGAATCAACAGCTGCTAGTATTGTACACAGGTTTTATCAGCTGATCTACATGGAGCGGTTACAGCTGCAGTGGTTCGACATTAAGTTTCTCCCAATAGACAGGTTGCTGTGACAGTGGGTCGAGTTACAGTATCTGAGTTGAATTGTCTCCCCTGACATAATTCTGAGATAATGAGTTAGATTTTAAGTGACTCTTTGACACATTACCCCGACGATGAGTTTGAGAAGTTACCGCGACTGTGGGGTCGATTTCGAAGTGTGCTCATGCAGGAAGTCGTTGGCTTAACATTTGTTTTCGAGTGTGACATACTATACTAAAGATGTATTCCATGAACAAACGTCAAGTGAATGCCTGACACGAGGTACATTTGAAGGAGCTTGCAAAATTCTATGAAATGTCAGATTGTCACATTTGAACAGAAATAATCCTTCATTAGACGGTATCTACTATGTATAACCAGTACCCGCTTGTCAGACATTCGGGAACTTCACGGCTTTTTTTAACATCTGTCAAATTACCACTGTCGACCACAAGAACACATTCCCCTGCCAAGTGACACGCGGTCGAATCAGGACAAAAAAAGAACTTGGAAAACAACGCATAATGATATATATATATATACCAGAGGAAAATTTCAAAAACGAAGGGAGATCACTCTGATATTTGAGAGATATCATGGATCATGGATAGAATAGCATATGTACCGATTCCAGTGCAAGTGTGTCTAGAAATAAACGATAGTATACCGGTTGTCTGTTAAAAATGCCCATGCACATATATGAACGTCGCTTTTTTGTTGACTAAATAAAACATTTCAGAGTGAAAGTATTAATATTTTCAGTCACAAACAACGCGGGTCATACATCAAGAATACTGTCTTTTAAAAGACATACAAACAAAAACAATGAAATCGTAATATTGCACAACGGTTTATACCAGGTATGTTGAAGACAGACGAGCAGCAATGAGACAAATGACCTGCCCGACAGGTAACAGCCCAATCTTGTCATCCTGACATTCATCATCCCCAGACAGCCTGAGGGAAGGACATCACGGTCACAGCACCGCCGACAAGTGTATCTTGTATGGGCGCTTCTGATTGGTCAGTAACAAATATTAACCAATTAAAAGAGATGTCTTATTTACAGACATATCTTTAAAACAGTAAATAATATAAATACATTCAGATCCATACAAAAACAAGCGAGTGGTGAACGACTGTGGTCAGGGGCCATGTGTGGGAGTTTTATAAGTTCTTGTTATTACCCAGCATAACGTGTTATTTATTGATTACTAAATAATGATTATTATCCGATATATTTATTACACATAACCATTATCAAGAGATAGTAAATTCGACAACTGTTGTTTAGAAAGGCCATAAAAAGTCTGGTGATAACTTAAATAGGAATGAGTACCTTCCAGCAGACGAGTACCCTCAAGACGAATACTCTCCAAACGGTAGCCTCCAGATGGGTGTCCTTCAACAAGTAACCCTCAAGACGAGTACCCTTCATCGAGTACCCTCCATACGGGTACACCCTCTCTCCACACAAGTACATTTCCTTTGCATAGAAATATTGGTGCTTTCACCAATTGAGCCACAGCTCAACTGTCTTTTTAACCTTTGCCCTGTTTTTCAACACGTATGTATTGATGTCAAAAAGAGTAGTAGTATTCAATTGAAAGAAATAAAGTGATATGAAAATAACTTTTCTTGGATTTCGGATTTCGAGAATCTCTTGACAAGCTAATTAGATAGACAGACAGACATTCTGTATTTCCTCCTTATATGCTAACCGTTTATATATCGCATGTACTGAATACATGTGTAGGCCACACGCTTGTTAATCTACTTACCGTTTCTGTGGACAAACCACGACGTACATTAAACAGTAGTGATACAGCGTATATCCCCTGGGGGCCCCACACCGTGTCTACGTCATCCCCTCCGCAGGGCCTCATATTGTTTCAGTTAACGAAGTGCAACCAGACAGGTACGTTAAGCTCCTTTCCCATCAGTGTAGGTCGTACCAAAGTCACAAGCTGTCGTCTCCACAGGTAAGTTTGTCTCTCCTTTCTATCTCGTTTGTTTTCTATCTCCTTCTTTCTCTCTCACGCCTTTTTTTGTACATTCATTACATTTACATAGCAACAAAAGAAAAAATCAACTTACTTATCTATATGGTGATCTATGTAGACAGATGTGTCGGTGAACTTTATATTTGCTTGTTTTTGGAAATAACCTTGAAATCCACTAAAGGTGACTCTTTTAATGACTTTAAATACAGTTCCTGTTAATTAACATGTGTTTAAATGGGGATATATATAATACCACTAGACAGGTTTAATTAAAACGAACTGCAGAAAATAATGGAATTATTCAAATAAGATAATAAAACTTTGTGATCCGCCTATCAATATGCAAATCGCGTTTTGACATATGCGGATTGAAAATTTAGTTGTTGTTTTGTAACAAATGTTTAACTAAAGATAATTACAGATATTGTTATCTCCATCGCTATAATTATTTCATTCATTTATTTTAAACGTGTATTGAGAAGCGCCAACCAAATGACCTTTAGTTAGTACGGTATTGTAGCATTCGAAAACAAGTCCCTACAATGTACTCTGCGCTCACGTGAGCGACAATCTTACCATGGATAACAAGATCCGTTCATGATTTTATCTACGCTGTACATTTGAAGTTATGTACACGTTTTGATACGTTTCAGAATCCGGTTAGACCGGAACCGGAAATGGCTCATGACATTCTACTGTGTACTGTTCAGTTACACTTCTTACATGTATATCGGCGATGGTGGCTACGAGTTTAAGTGTATGTAACGTGCATTGTACGTGTGTGTAGGTGATGTAGAACGATTTAAAAACACATGCAGAGAGGAATATATATCTCACTTTCCCCAACAGGAAACGCTATAGTGTCCTTATAGGAAGCATTGTGTGTTTAACCATTAAGAAAATAACCTCACAATATACTTTGTCTATAGAAACTAAAACTAAATGTCCCACAAAGTTTAGTGAAACGATTTCTGACTATGCTTCGTGATGTTTCTGTAAAATAGTTCTACTATTTCAAACGAGATACTGAACAAATGTTTCTTTGAAAATCGAACACCGTTTTTTCACTCAAAATATCTCACAATTTCCCTAAGTTAACTGAACAGTTCTTTCAGATATAACACTCACCAAAGTTTCTGTGAAGTAGTCATCTATTTCAGATATAAACACTCACCAAAGTTTCTGTGAAGTAGTAATCTATTTTAGACAAAACACTCACCAAAGTTTCTGTGAAGTTGTCATCTATTTCAGACATAACACTCACCAAAGTTTCTGTGAAGTAGTCATCTATTTCAGATATAACACTCACCAAAGTTTCTGTGAAGTAGTAATCTATTTCAGATATAAACACTCACCAAAGTTTCTGTGAAGTAGTCATCTATTTCAGACAAAACATTCATCAAAGTTTCTGTGAAATAGTAATCTATTTCAGACATAACACTTCACAATATTTTCTTTAAATTCAACTACATGTATTTCTGAAATAATATGTAACAAAGTTTCTACGTAATAGTAAAAAGATCTCATATGTTTTACCTCAAAGTTTCTGTTTAAATAAGAAATAATACAACTATTTCAGACTAGTTACCTCACAACGTTTCTAAGTAAATCTATTGCTATTTTAAACGTTTTACTTCATATTATTTTTTAAAAATAGTTGGAATATGTTCCGTTGAATCCCTTGATATTTCTGTGTATATACTACAACTATTTCATACACAATACGTTACAGTGTTTCTTTTTGATAGTACAACTATTCCGAATGTTGACACCTCACAAAATGCCAGGCTCATAAATCAGTTAGTGTGACGCTACTGTAGGGGGTTAGGCCCTATTATAGACATTAGACTGTCACGCGGAAAACGGTGCCGGGAGATGTCACTGTCCAAACCTTATTAGCGTGAGACGATGGTCACTCGGGTCCATAAAAGTCACGAACACGGACACGGCCCCAGGATTATTGTTATGTTTTCAGTGCCATGTAAATATACAAGTTTACGTACATGTGTATCATTTAAAAAATATGCAACTGTTTTCCAAGATAATTTTTTATATTTACATTTGCATGGCATTGTCACTATATAGCCTCTTTGAAAGCTGTGTCGTTGATGGGACTTTAATTACCATGCATCACGAGACACAATTCTTAGCGTATTAATTCAACACTGACCGGAACTACAATATCCAATATAAATAAACATGACGGCTGCTGAAATATCGCTGGGCATTGTGAGATTTGACAATGTCATTGTAAATTAATGTGCAAAAGAAAAAAGAAAATAAAAAACACTTTTATTACAACGAAAACAAGACCAAGGTCTGCAATATCGTACAAAATGCACATCGGTTGAAATCACCAATGCCGGCAATGGAAACAATTTTAACGCTCATGCAATTTATCAGAAATATCGTCTGTTACACTGCACTGATCAACAGGGGTTCGTTACAAATGTCTGAAATACACATATTCTATAGACCTACTGACACATATGTTACAGACCTACTGATATGAGTCACAGCACACATAAACATTTCAGACATTTGTAACGAACCTGTGCTCCGTCGCAAGATCACTCACTTCAAACGCTATCAGTTTCACGCGTCTCGCATCCACCATTCCTCAGTTTCTGACGACATGTCAAATAACGAGGATGTTATAGAATCTACCGACTGTTGTCAGGTTCCCATACAATCAACAAATACATTCACGCCTGGATTCTTCACAAAATGAGCAAAGAGAAAAGTTCGAGTTAACTTCCAAAAATAACTCCCTCGTGAGGGCAAGGTCGGATTTACGGTGTTCACTGTATTTGTCAATGCGCGAAATTTGTTCCGGGGGGGAAAATCGAAACAATTTCAAATCTAACTTTCAGCTCAGAGTTCTATTGATAAACTTAAATCACCCTATAGACATATCATACGCAATTGTATTGATACTGTGGAATAAAATTGAAGTGTTTGTTAATATTTCAAAGTACTACTTTGTTTGCCAATCAGCACGCGACAATACGCTGTTCAAACTGTTGAACGAAATTGTGTGGACTGTCGATAAGGCGGGCATTTTGAATTTTGAATTTAAATTATAAGTTAAAAAAGAACATAACAGGCAGAGAAAACGTAAATATAAGTATTGAATTGTTTTTGTATGGTATTTATGATCTATTTGAATGCCACAGCTTTGCAAGCAAACAAATCATAATGCGCGCTACAGTTCAATGCTTAAATAACGTATTCCATGATTGATTTATAACAATATAAAGGTTTAATAGACTTTGTATAGTCATGTGTTTAGTTACTGTCTGTAGTAGTAATATATTGAGGCTTCCCATCCAGTGATGGTGTGTTATCATGTTTATCTTACTCGAGTTAGCTAATGTTGAAATTCAACGAGAAACGATGTTTACCGAGTGTTTTTTGCGATTGGATAATTAACTAACGAGATATGTTAGGATAAACATGATAATCAAGCCTCACGAATATGGTGGAGGGGGAGGAGGGGAGGAGGGTTGGAGTGGCTTTTTCTCTCATAACATTCATATCATGTCTGGAAAACCGATAGCGTTCGGGAAACCAATTACCGTGAATGACGTCACAATTGAAGATGACGGTGCAAGGCATTGTCATGTGCCGTTATAACTAGAAGATTGACCAATGAAATCGCGTCGAGGAGTTTACAATTAGCGGGTCTATCCAATGACCACGAGTGTGTAAACCTACGATTACAGTGGTCGTGGAAGAGTATAAGGTACACGTCTCTGGTAGTAAAATATACGTGTGGCAGGTACGGGAAGTATAAACCTTCAGTAATGTGGGGCCCCTGATGAATAGGGGACTTTATTCCTTGTCTTCTGCTTAGAGTACATTAAAGAAACCAAAATTGATCTGCTCCCCTTATGCAACACGTTCATTTCGGTAGTGTCCCCCAAGACATGTGACCTTACACGTTGGGAAGACATTAACCCCCAAACAAACAAACAAACAAAACTGGTAGTACTTACTAGGTCCTGTTTTTGTTAGTGACGTTTGTTTACTGCTGTATACTGAGGTTATTAAAAATAAGTCTCAAAGTGACCATTTCTCAAATAAACAAAAATAACGTGTTTAACTTTTTAAGGTTTAAGTCCTTACAACAGACAATGTCATATGGATACTGTCAACGGTGGTGAGCTTAACATTGGTTGCCATCAACACAAACCTGTTAAACACAGAGGTATAATGTCCTGGTGGTGTCTATATTATATAGACTTTTGGAAGTGGTGTCTACATTAAATAGACTTTCGGAAGTGGTGTCTATATTATATAGACTTTCGGAAGAGGTGTCTTCATTATATAGACTTTCGGAAGTGGTGTCTACATTATAAAGACTTTCGGAAGTGGTGTCTTTATTATATAGACTTTCGGAATTGATGTCTTTATTATATATACTTTAGGAAGTGTTGTCTTTATTATATAGACGTGCGGAAATGCTTTCGCAGCGTCGATCAGCGTCATGCACTTTCTGTGTTAAAATCTAACGGACCTTCGGACCGATCGCCAGTCGACGATGAATTAATGGGGCTATACGAATTTTGTGTTTTACTTACAATACAGATAAATAAGGAACGCTTCACTCGTTAACTGATATATTTGATAATAGGACATGTCAGTGAAAAACAACTCTGGGGTTCTGCCTACCTTATGTATCTATTGTACATTTACATGTCAACAATACAAACATCGTTTAATGGAATATTCGTATCTGGTGCCACGTAATTTCGAAGCACATTACAACCGGTCTCTGTTCGTAGATTTTATACAATTAATATGTAGATGGAATAATTAGTAACACAGAAATATTCAAATTAATACAAGAATGTTCTCCATGACCGTAAAACGTCCTGATACGGTCAGGGTGCGTTCGACTCGAGTCCTCCACAGCTATGGTACATTGTGCTAGTTCGTCTCCACACCAGCTTTATTCCTGTGCTAACGAGGTATTAATGCAGTCGAACGATGCCAAACATTACACATGCTAATTAGAAAAGGTTTGTGCCATTCAACGTTTTGTTGTGTACAAGATGAAAATAAATATAAAGCCTGGTAGCTTCAATAGATCATCACATCTAGTATTTTTCATAGTAAGGTTTCTATTCATTTTTAGACGAATGTTGCATTCGTCTAAAAATGAATAGAAACCTTACTATGAAAAACATGTATACAAAACGGGGTCTAGCGTAAACGCTTTTTATTGTTAATTCCATCATGTCGGCTATATAACGACACTTTTTCATTGGTTATCATCTATGTCCATTTGGACATATAGCATTGGCGTGCATGTATTGTTTTCCTACAAACCATGCTCGTGCGACGCACTACATTAGGCCGCCCCTATTTTGAAAGTGTAAACACAGTTGAAGAAACATGCATGCGTGTGCTTATGTAATCATCCCACATACCAACAACCTAGCAGCACATGAAAACTGGCTTCTGCCTTAAGTGATTCCGAAATCAGCTGTGTGTGGCTTATTGATTTTTTGTTTGTTTGAGGATAAATAAAGAGGCTCGCTGCCATATCTTTGAGGTGTCAAAAGTTATATTCCATGGGGCATCTATCATTTTCAGTATTGGCGACAGTGATGTCTCACATACTTTGGTGTCGCTTAGGTCAAATACAGCTTCCACCCATTGCTCGTTCTGATTGGCTTAGTCATTTCCGTAGAGTTACGGAAACCGTCGAACAATGAATCGGGGGAATATGTGTTAAACGAATTACCTTTACCTTTTTTAAGAAAATAGGATTATTAAACCGAACTAACAGGCGCGTTGCTGCCTTTACGCTGGCACGTAGGCGAATCCACCATTTTTTTTTAAAGTGAGAAAAAACAGAACAGGATCACTGCTTGTTGCACCCCTTGTCCCCCTACCAAGGCCCTGCTCTGGACCCGCTCTTAAGTGAATCCACTCCGAATTAAGGCTAGCTGCGCTCTATGCCTCAGGTTTCGTGCATTGCCGCTGGCACATTATGTACCTGTATGTATAGTGTTAATGTTACTGTACACAAGATATGTACTGTAACCTCCACACCATCTCACACTAGCCTACCACACTGCCTGTCACCCCCAGCTCTGACATTAGCTGTTGTTCCTATACTCATACATACTAACAGGTGTCATATAGAGTTAGATTAATGACGGTGGCCATTTTTTAAGAAAGATTCGTTAGACGAAAGGTACGTGACCGTTGAGGGTCACCTGACCTGTGACGTCTTTGTCGGGTGCCTTTCAAACAAGGACAAATGCCGTATTTGTGGATACCTTAACAGACCCTGTTTGACACTTCTCTCGGTACTTCGGTAAGCTATAGTAACTAAAATAATATTAATCCCGAAATAAATGAATTCTATAGCAGGCTGTTCTCTCTGTTCCAATAAACATAATGCTTAAGGGGGTAGCGCCTCAGATCGTAAACATCTCTTCTCGCCTGTCACACAAAGATTAAAATTAGAGTTACGTGTTTAAGTGTTATATATCAACAACAATACACAAAATGACGCTTAAAGCATATGCAAAGATTAAATTAAAACTATGAGTGTACTACCACGCCCGTTAGTTATGGTAATCTATGCTTGTCTGTATAAGTTATGATCTCGTAATCACACACAAGACTTTCTCATCACACCTTGTAGAATTCGCTCTTCAAAGACACGTGTATACTATATAGATGTTCTGTATGTTGGGCGTTCATTCCTCCTACTATTTATGGTCTTGAATTTAATGTATGATACCTACGCTTGAATTTTATAAAGAATCTGATCAGTTTTCAACGAAAACAAAGAAAATGTCGTAAAAGTTAGTTAAATGATACAGGAAAGACTTCGCTAGTCGTTTTCATCATATGTCAGCTCGCAGCAGTCCAGTGCTGATGTTGTTGGCAGCATTTAATAGTATCCGTACCTAAAACAATGGTCGAGTAAACCCTTACATGACTAAACCACTAGGTCTAATAATAGTAAGACTTACGTACATAAATATTCCGAGTCAAATGTCAGAGCGTGCGTGCGTGCGTACTAACAAGGTGCACAATGCATACTTTCACATCAATCAAAGTTCGTGTAAATTCAAGGTTGTTGGAGTCACTTCAGGGTTACCTTAAAGTTAAAGTGAAAGAAAAGCATTCCCCGACTCATGCACGGCCTTTACACAAGACACGCGTTATTCTATATCCGTATGATAACGACATTACTCGGGTTATTCCAAAACAGACGTGCGTAGCGTTTACTTTGTCTCCTTTGAGGGTTATCTAATTTCGATACACCTGACTAGAGTTTTAATCTGAATTTTATTCATTTATTTCAAAATTGAAAAACAGTTTCCTTTTAATTGCATTTTTTTTAATCCTGTTACACGGGACTAATTTGTGTGTTTTTGTTTCAGTCCATACCGTCAATATGAACACCGCACTGTTCGTGTGCCTGGCCAGTGTCCTCCTGTCTGTAGTCAGGTGTGAGAAATCTGTTATAGAAGGTAAGGAACCATTTTTGTTCATTTTCTGTTAAGACGGGGGGGTGGGGGGGGGGGGGTGATTCCTGATTCCTGAACCCCTAAAACATGTAAAATTTCTCTGAACACTTAGTTTAGGTCCATATACAGCTGTAACCAATTATCATGTGGTTTAATAGAGTAGTGAGTGACAGGTGTAGTAGTGCACCACTAGTAGATGGTAGTAGTGTTCTACACAGCTGACGGGTTATAGACACTCACTACTTATTGAGCCGTTACGACACAAAACGCTCTGCCAGCTTAATAAACACATTGTTTTTGTTTTCAAACATTCCTTATTGGTGATTTGAGTAACATTTGATGAATGTTGATGTTCCAGCTCCAATGGACTCTGGAGCTGCCTCAACTCAGTGTGGGGAAGTGGAGCTCGGATTTGCCCAGGAGGCACATCTGTCGTCCAGTGGGAAGGCGCCTAAAGGCTTCTACAGCCTGTTAATATCGGCCGTAGGTGATGCACCGTCTGATTGCAAATTTCGCCATCTTTGTGTCGATGTGGTCGATAGTCGCATGGAGTTCTGTTATGCTAAAGTTCACATTTCTGGCAAGCGTTTCGAGAAGGAAGACACAAGAGCGGTAAGTACCATTGTTCAAACTAAATGATAATTACTGCACTGCTTACTATATCTCCAAAATAAGGTGTCCCATCTCGAACTACAGTGGCGGTCAGTCAGTCGAGTTACGTGCCCCTGGTTCCTCCGCACCATCACCTGTACTATTTTTGGCAGAGTAAGACGTCCCAACAATAATTTGTAATTATATATATTAGTTCTGCTAAGACAAGGAAATAGACGGGATCCATTAGCAGAAGTGGATTTGGTCGATTACTGGTGACAAATACATAAACAACATTGTAATCGAACGTTTCATGTTAAGGCACAGAGGCGAATTGTAACAACTTGTTCACCCGTTGTCCGTATAATGTGACCGGGTGGAATGCTGTGCTTGGTGCCTTCGGCGTGGCATTTCAGTGAGATAGCACTATACAGTCGGCATCAATGTCCGCGCTATCACATGGAGGCAAGCAACATGACCTGTATCATGCATACACACACGCAAGTACGCATACACAACACAAATAGAGGCACGTCCTTAAATGACCGTAGCTGTTAATAGGATGTTAAACAAAATTAAACCAAACCAAACTAAACCAAACCTTCATTCTATGATGTATTTCCAACGAAAAGGATTTCCAAGTTGTTAGGTATTTATTTCTGACATGCAGTTTGCTTACCAATTAACAACCCGACTCTCTGACAGCTTCCTACCAAAGCAAGAAGCTTTTCAGCTGCGCTTCCGGTCATAGTACAGTGTAGTTGCAACATGGTTGGAAATAATTTCAAAACGATTAACTCCTGTAAGAAAACCGTCGATTGTTTTTGCATGAATACATACAAATTGACAAGGAAAATAACTAACCGTAAATAGTATTACGTTACTAATATTTCACATTGATTCACAGTTAAAATTATAACATTCTTAATGTCTTTTCAGTCATGTCACGTAAACATTTGCAATACCTAACCTTTCCTGGGTATATCCGTACATGAGCGTTGTAGAACGTCAAATTATTTCCCAAAGCTTACTTTGTTTACATCGGAAGTAATAAAGTATATATAATGTATGTAACAGGAAATGGGATGCGGTAAGACGATTCCGGAAGAGTGGTGTACAAACTCCCAGTTCCTAGAAGTATCCGTGATTGAGAAAGCAAGTTACACTGGCACTTCCGGCTACGGCTTCAATATTACCGTCTCCTCAAAGTGTAAGGACAGTGACGTAGACAAAGAGGAACTCGTAGATGGTAAGTGTGGCAAAAGGTATATACCATTGATATAGTAAGACATGGTGTAAGGTCGATGGTAGTAAAGTAGCTTTTGTAACAATGATTTTGTATGGAGTCGTTGATGGTGTGTTATTATAGTAGCATATGTAACTTATAAATAATTTGTCTGAGGTCGTTGGTGTTGTGTTACTATAGTTACAGATGTATATCATAGATATTTTGTCTGAGGTCGTTGGTGGTGTGTTACTATAGTTACAGATGTATAGTATAGATATAGTATCCGAGGTTGTTGGTGTTGTGTTACTATAATTACAGATGTATAATATAGATATATTGTCTGAGGTCGTTGGTGGTGTGCTACTATAGTTACAGATGTATAGTATAGATATAGTATCCGAGGTTGTTGGTGTTGTGTTACTATAATTACAGATGTATAATATAGATATATTGTCTGAGGTCGTTGGTGGTGTGCTACTATAGTTACAGATGTATAGTATAGATATAGTATCCGAGGTTGTTGGTGTTGTGTTACTATAATTACAGATGTATAATATAGATATATTGTCTGAGGTCGTTGGTGGTGTGCTACTATAGTTACAGATGTATAGTATAGATATAGTATCCGAGGTTGTTGGTGTTGTGTTACTATAATTACAGATGTATAATATAGATATATTGTCTGAGGTCGTTGGTGGTGTGCTACTATAGTTACAGATGTATAGTATAGATATAGTATCCGAGGTCGTTGGTGGTGTGTTACTATAGTTACAGATGTATAGTATAGATATAGTATCCGAGGTCGTTGGTGGTGTGTTATTATAGTTACAGATGTATAGTATAGATATATTGTCTGAGGTCGTTGGTGGTGTGTTACTATAATTACAGATGTATAATATAGATATATTGTCTGAGGTCGTTGGTGGTGTGTTACTATAGTTACAGATGTATAGTATAGATATAGTATCCGAGGTCGTTGGTGGTGTGTTACTATAGTTACAGATGTATAGTATAGATATAGTATCCGAGGTCGTTGGTGGTGTGTTATTATAGTTACAGATGTATAGTATAGATATATTGTCTGAGGTCGTTGGTGGTGTGTTACTATAATTACAGATGTATAATATAGATATATTGTCTGAGGTCGTTGGTGGTGTGTTACTATAGTTACAGATGTATAGTATAGATATAGTATCCGAGGTCGTTGGTGGTGTGTTACTATAGTTACAGATGTATAGTATAGATATATTGTCTGAGGTCGTTGGTGGTGTGTTACTATAATTACAGATGTATAATATAGATATATTGTCTGAGGTCGTTGGTGGTGTGTTACTATAGTTACAGATGTATAGTATAGATATATTGTCTGAGGTCGTTGGTAGTGTGTTACTATAGTTACAGATGTATATTATAGATATATTGTCTGAGGTCGTTGGTGGTGTGTTACTATAGTTACAGATGTATATTATAGATATATTGTCTGAGGTCGTTGGTGGTGTGTTACTATAGTTACAGATGTATATTATAGATATATTGTCTGAGGTCGTTGGTGGTGTGTTACTATAGTTACAGATGTATATTATAGATATATTGTCTGAGGTCGTTGGTGGTGTGTTACTATAGTTACAGATGTATATTATAGATATATTGTCTGAGGTCGTTGGTGGTGTGTTACTATAGTTACAGATGTATATTATAGATATATTGTCTGAGGTCGTTGGTGGTGTGTTACTATAGTTACAGATGTATATTATAGATATATTGTCTGAGGTCGTTGGTGGTGTGTTACTATAGTTACAGATGTATATTATAGATATATTGTCTGAGGTCGTTGGTGGTGTGTTACTATAGTTACAGATGTATATTATAGATATATTGTCTGAGGTCGTTGGTGGTGTGTTACTATAGTTACAGATGTATATTATAGATATATTGTCTGAGGTCGTTGGTGGTGTGTTACTATAGTTACAGATGTATATTATAGATATATTGTCTGAGGTCGTTGGTGGTGTGTTACTATAGTTACAGATGTATATTATAGATATATTGTCTGAGGTCGTTGGTGGTGTGTTACTATAGTTACAGATGTATATTATAGATATATTGTCTGAGGTCGTTGGTGGTGTGTTACTATAGTTACAGATGTATATTATAGATATATTGTCTGAGGTCGTTGGTGGTGTGTTACTATAGTTACAGATGTATATTATAGATATATTGTCTGAGGTCGTTGGTGGTGTGTTACTATAGTTACAGATGTATATTATAGATATATTGTCTGAGGTCGTTGGTGGTGTGTTACTATAGTTACAGATGTATATTATAGATATATTGTCTGAGGTCGTTGGTGGTGTGTTACTATAGTTACAGATGTATATTATAGATATATTGTCTGAGGTCGTTGGTGGTGTGTTACTATAGTTACAGATGTATATTATAGATATATTGTCTGAGGTCGTTGGTGGTGTGTTACTATAGTTACAGATGTATATTATAGATATATTGTCTGAGGTCGTTGGTGGTGTGTTACTATAGTTACAGATGTATATTATAGATATATTGTCTGAGGTCGTTGGTGGTGTGTTACTATAGTTACAGATGTATATTATAGATATATTGTCTGAGGTCGTTGGTGGTGTGTTACTATAGTTACAGATGTATATTATAGATATATTGTCTGAGGTCGTTGGTGGTGTGTTACTATAGTTACAGATGTATATTATAGATATATTGTCTGAGGTCGTTGGTGGTGTGTTACTATAGTTACAGATGTATATTATAGATATATTGTCTGAGGTCGTTGGTGGTGTGTTACTATAGTTACAGATGTATATTATAGATATATTGTCTGAGGTCGTTGGTGGTGTGTTACTATAGTTACAGATGTATATTATAGATATATTGTCTGAGGTCGTTGGTGGTGTGTTACTATAGTTACAGATGTATAGTATAGATATATTGTCTGAGGTCGTTGGTGGTGTGATGCTATAGTTACAATTGTATATTATAGATATATTGTCTGAGGTCGTTGG